AGGAGGCCTTCTTGGGGGTTAGTTACCCCAGGTCCATGTAGTCACCATCTAAAGGAAGGCTATAGAACATTTTTAGCACAGCAGGGGCTTCCTCAGGCTGTTTTCCAGTCAATATCATCACCTCTCTCCAACCAAGAGGTAGCCACAATTCTGACTTCTAACACCATGAGTTGGTTTCACCCGTTCTTGAACTTGGTGTAAATGGAATCATACTCTGCCTGGTTTCTTTTACCCAACATTGTCAGATGTGGGGGTGTGAGACTCATCCACATTGCTCAGAGCAGTAATCCATCCTTTCTATCGCTGAGTAGTATTCCATGGTATAAAAATAGCATGCAAATATTTGGGTTAGTTATCAATGAACTTGCTATGAACATTCTGGCAGATGTCTTTTTGTGTGAAATATGCACTCCGTTCTTTTGGATTTTGTAATAGACTTTTAAACTCCATACTTAAGCAAGCTTTTACAGACATCCTCATTTAAAAGAGCTGACAGCTATAACTCATGACTTTGGTGCCAGTGGTTTTAAGTGACTCAGAGATGCGGCATTGTTGGTCAGACTTACTGTAAAACATTCTCCCTAGTAAGGACACTTAAACTGGTGATCAATCCAGCCCCAGGTTATATGTGACTTCCATGCAGAGAGGATGCTACCAATGTGGGAATAACTTGAAACTTGGCTCTCGGTGCTTCACATTGGCATTCCCTGGTCTGTAGAGTTCAGTCACATGACACAATTTTCTTTGCCTGGGGTGTTTGGGCTCTAATCTTTCCCAAAATAGGGAGTCCAACTCCTATAAATTGGAGACTTTCTTTCTATGGCTGTTCTTAAAAGTTCAACTGTGGGAAGAGGGAGTAATAGCAGCATTTCCCTTGTGAAAAATCAGGGGGTGAGGGGCGCCTGGGTGACTCAGTCAGTTGAGCATCTGACTCTTGATTTCAGCTCAGATCATGATCTCATGCTTTGTGGTATCAAGCCCCGACTTGGGCTCTGCACTGACAGCATGGAGTCTGCTTGGGATTCTCCTTCTCTCTCTCTCTCCCTCCCCTACTCATGCTCTCTCTCTCTCAAAATGAATAAACATTAAAATAAAAATAAAAACCAGAGGGTGAAGTCCTAGTGAAGGGAGGTCAGAAGACACCAGACAGAGAAGGAGGAATTCTCTCTGTTCACAGAGACAAAGCTGACGGGGCGTGTAAGAACCGAAGATCTTCAATTAGCTTCCTTCAATTGATAAAACATGACTTCGCTTATATTTTATTTATTTATTTTTATGTTTTATTTATTATTTTTGAGGGAGAGAGAGAGAGAAAGGCAGAGAGAAGGGGACAGAGGATCTGAAGTGGGCCCTGGGCTGACAGCAGAGAAGCTGAAGTCGGATGCTTAATGGACTAAGCTACCCAGGCACCCCAATTTCACTTGTATTTTAAAATTATCTTTAACGTATTGCTAAAAATAAAAGTGAGGACACCTGGAAAAGATTCTAAGACTTTCCAGACCTACTAATGCCTCAATGTAACTGAGCGTTAAGTACAGTTGGAGAGCCTGGAGAAACCCCTCTGTTTGTTTGGGTTTATCTCACTGTGCTTGGTATGCTAAGCGGACTGAGGACACAAGCTGGGCACTCAGCCAGCGGAACGGGAAATAAATTATTCTAATTTTTTCCTACAGAGCACATAACTTGTTTTGTGTGTGTGTTTGTTTTCCTCCATATGTTGAAGCACAGGTAAGTACAGGGCTTGAGCTGATGTTGGGCAATGGTGTGAGAAATCCTAACATGGTTCACTCTGGTCACAGCGGGGCCTCCACATAGTTCTATGCACTGATTTTTTAGCATCTTGTCCCAGTGAAATAACTCTCACTAAACCAATTGCCCAGCAGAGATGAAATGTGGTTTCTCTCATTTTACCAGGAAGGTAGTAAAACATTAACTCACAGGCTCATCGATGCTGCGCCACACAGATCTCAAATCTCTATCGTGTGGCACAAAGTGCAGGCCCACCTCATGTTAGTGTGCTTTGTTATATTATGCTTTACAGGTACTGCTTTTTTTTTTTTTTTTTAATAAATTGAAGATCTGTGGCAACCCTGTATTAAGCAAGGTTGATTTTTCCAACAGCATTTGCCTGCTTCCCGTCTCGTGTCACAATTTGGTAATGCTTGCAATATTTCAAACTTTTTCATTATTTGTTATGGCAGGCTGTGGTCTGGGATCTTTGATGCTGCTATTGTAATTGTTCTAGGGCGCCATGAACTGCTCCTGAATGAGACAGCTCACTTAACTGATAGATGTCATGTGTGTGTTGTGACTGCTCCCCCCACCGGCCATTCCCCCACTGCTCCCTCTCCTCAGGCCTCCCTGTTCCCTGAGACACAGTAGTGAAATTTGGCCAATTAATAATCCGATGGTGGTCTCTACGTGTTCAAGTGAAAGGAAGAGTCACATGTCTCTCACGTTAAGTCAAAAGTGAGCTACACTAAACAGGTTTTCAATGCAGATGAAACAGCCCTCTATTAGAATAAAATGCCAGCTAAGGCTTTCACAGCTCCAGAGGAGAAATCAATGCCTGGCTTCAAAGCTTCAAAGGACAGGCTGACTCTCTTGTTAAGGGCTACCGCAGCTGGGGACTTTAAGTTGGAGCCAATGCTCATTTACCATTCTGAAAATTCTAGGGCCCTGACGGATGATGCTGAATGTCTTCTGTGTGTGCCCTATAATTGGAACAGCCAAGCCTGGATGACAGCACATCTGTTTACAACATAGTTTACCAAATATTTTAAGCCCCTGTTGAGACCTGATGCTCAGAAGGAAAAGATTCCTTTCAAAATATTGCTGCTTATTGACAGTGCACCTGGTCACCCAAGAACTCTGATGGACTATGAGATTGTCACTGGCATGACCCCCTGACCCGCTGAACTTAGGAAACTCCTAGAAACTTCTATCAATTTCATCTTTTAGAAACTAACAAATTGCCGGAACAGGAAAAGAAACATTTGAGTAGATCCCAGGACTTTGCCTGCTCAGATGAATCAGAAATGCCCTACAAATTTACCTCAGCTTGTCATTTTTATTTTAATGTTAAAAGCTCCTCTGAATATTCATCCCAAGCCCTTGTAAAAGGAGCCTGCTTACCCCTGTTTGAGAAATCATTCCACATGATCTCTTTATTTGTACAAATAGGAGTTTGTAAAGGAATCCCACCTGGTGCGGTCTGTCCAAAACTCATCAGGGAGTGGACCCACATTGGTTAGGTAACAAGATGAATTGTTTTTTCATGACTGCTAACACAATATCCATTCTGCAGCCTATGGATCAAAAATAATTTTGGGGCTCCTGGATGGCTCAGTCAGTTAAGCATCTGACTTTGGCTCAGGTCATGATTTCGTGGTTCATGGGTTTGAGCCCTGCGCCAGGCTCTGTGCTGACAGCTCAGAGCCTGGAGCCTGCTTTGTCTTTGTCTTCCTCTCTCTCTGCTCCTCCCCCACTCGCACTCTGTCTCTCTCTGCTACATCCATGGCTTCATCTGGACCACTCTCCTTGCTTTTCTCCACTGCAGAAAGCAAACCCCCAAGACTGGAGAACAGCACCGAGCCAATGCAATGCAGACGTTCTCTCCCAAAGCCAGTTTCCTCAGCTGCAAGAGGTGGATAACGATAATACCTATTTCAGAGAGTTGCTGTCAGGGGTAAATGAGAAAATGCAGATAAACTTTGTGAGATTATCTACGTAAAGTGCTTAGCACCTAACAATCCTTCAACAAATGTTAGCCACTGTTTCTAATGTTGGTATTAATGACCTACAGACTGCATCTGGTCACCACCTGGGAGGCTCAGCCAGCTCTGGCACTGAAACCACTTTGTGGAATTAGGCCCTCCATTTCCCACCCCTATAATCTGCAGTGCAGGCCCACCCCAAAATGCACCTCTGTTGGGATTCCAAGTAGCTTGTCATTGGGGGTGCCCTTGTCCTTTGATGAAGTGTCCCCACGTGGGAGAAAGAGGAGACATAGCTTTCTTGTGGTTGCAGAGGGGTGTGCAGCAGGGGAGGAAGCTAGGATGGTCATGGAGTTCTCCAGATTCCTGAGGTTACCGCTGCAAATATTTGGAGTTGTGCAAAACCATCAGTGAGTTCAGATAAAAAAAAGCCACTGCAAAGGACTAAAGAGCCAACAGCATCACAGGCTATGAAAATAGAAATTAAGACACACACATACACACATAGATCAATATATGAGGTGACAGATGTATTAACTAACTAGGTGATGGGAATCCTTCCACAACGCCTTTGGATATTGAACCATCACAATGTACAATTAAAACTTTCTATTTTCAGTATCTTCTGTGACTATACCAGGAATTTTTGTCTGAATGAAAAACCTTATGGGATCGTTACCAAAGTTCTCCACAGTTGAAATAATGAAATCATTAAGCTTAAAGTCTACTCAGAATGCCAAATGTCAATATATTTATCAACAAACTGAGTTATTAACTCTAAAATTCCATGCTATTAAAAACCACACAGAAACAACTTCTGTTTAAAAACAAATAGGAAAAGGCAGCAAAGGCAAGTTGGGTAGTACATTAAGTTTATTTTGAATTATAACATGGAATGTGTCATCAAACAAATGGAGATAATGAGCACTTTCGTGGTTCAATTAACAAACTATTTGCATAGTTATGTCTTAGGATGCAGAACTCATTGAATTGTGAATTAGATGAACATAAAATAAGAATCATCATAAAAAAAAGAACCATCTACCTGTGTGCAAAATAAATGCAATTTTACTTCAAATAACAGACTTTTGTTAGTTTTTGTTTTAAAACTTTTTAATGCTTCTTTATTTTTGAGAGAGAGCAAGAGAGACAGAGTGCTGGCAGGGGAGGGGCAGAGAGAGACGGAGACAGAATCTGAAACAGGCTCCAGGCTCTGAGCTGTCAGCACAGAGCCCAACGCGGGGCTTGAACTCAGGAATGGCAAGATCATGACCTGAGCCGAAGTCAGATGCCCAACCAGCTGAGCCACCCAGGTGCCCCTGTTTAGTTTTTGGTACATGATTAATACAATCATCTTCCCTGTTATCGGTAATGTCATAATCTCATCCAGACCAAACCTGATCCTTCTAAGCTAGAGACCTCTTACCTATAGTACAAAGCCCTCCATTAAATATTGCTAAAGCTACTGGACTCATTCTTACTGCTCTAATATTGATCAAGAACATCCACTTAAAACAATCTAACAAATAGGCCAAGGACAACAATATATCTTAGTGAAAACATGACATTTGTGATTTCACCCCATTTTGTCTCCTGGAACTTTGTTATCTGTACAATACTGTTTCGATTTATATCAGTGATCAGCAACCAGTTTTGGCCTAAGGGCTAGCAAAAGGGGAAAAATATAAAGATTTAAGGCTGCACTATTTTCCTCTTCAAAATAAACATAGCTTTATGAAATTCCCATGGAGGAAAGTGTTTATCTGTGCTACTTTGCTAAGTAAAAGAAAGTCAGGGAGGAAATTGGCACTGCTTTATAGTTACTAAAGAGTTTATGTCTGGGTGTTTTAGCAATACCGACAGATCTTTCTAAATTTTTATCCTGAAATTAGATTGCTGACTTGTATAGCTAGTCAGGCTCCAGGCATCCCTGGGGACCCTGTGGGTTGCTCATTACTGCCTTTGTTTGTGATATTGATTAAAATAAGTTGATTTCTGTTGATTGGTTATTTTATCGATCATAACAAACCTGAAGAGAATATCTTCTAATTTCCAAAATTATATTTGGTCATTTACTGGCTTACAGACAATGCTTTTAGTACCACTGCAAGTTGGTTAAAAAAAAAACTTTGGGGATTACATTTCCTTCCATCTTCACATGGAAACCAAAGCAGAAAATGAAAACTAAAGATGTATTTAAATAACAGAAATACCATCAATGTTTATTATGGTAACGACGATTTATTATGGAAAGACGGTTTAATTTTTGCGTGTGCAATTAGGCACTGACTGGGGCATTTAGACACCATTGATTATAAAGTGCATTGAACATAAATTTTGATTCCTCTCCAAGGAATAATTCAGTAAAACTCAGGTCTCTTTCTTGGAATCAATCAGCTCAAGAACATGCATAGATGAACACCTATTAATACTAATAACAGTCTTTTATTACTTATACTCCTGCAATATAACAGCAACATATTGCACTTGCATATATCACATTGTACCGAAGGACCCCAAAGTCATTATGTCAAGCAATGTGGTGCTGGAAGTTCAGGACTGCACAGCCTATTAAGTCTACTCAGTTATGGCAGGGAAAGCGGATTCCCAACAATAGAATCAAGATAAAAGCTCAAAGAGACAAGCCTCAGTTTCTCATGGCTTGTAAATTTCTGAGTTTCCAAAATTGCCACTTGCATCCCACTGTACCTACAATATCGATTCTAGGCAAAAATGATTTTTTACAGATTTGGAATAAGATGAAGATCAACTCACAAATAACCAATCTGTCTTTTTTATAGTTCAACAGCCCATCTTTGAAAATCACAGGGTGGAATGTCAGAAGTGGCTTTTTAATATAAATATGCACTTCACTGATTCAGAATACACATGGCTACAACCTTTGGGTAGCAGAAAACATTTTACATTGGAATGACATACCTGTATGTGTAAAACATGAGGGAGCTGTAACTTTTAGCACACTGACATTTAATGCAAAAACGAAAGTGCTTTGATTCACTGAAGGTCAGACTTCCAGTATTTTAAAGGCTTTATCATCTTGCTTAAACGTCTTCAAGGGTTTAAGTCTTAGAGTTTAACCGAGAGACCCAACTTAGTGCCGTATAGACTGAGTTTCTCTGGAATCCACAAATCTACCAGGCCCCACAGGAGTGGGGTCGCAGGCCAGCGTGAGAAGCCCACGTAAGTGACGGCAAGGGGTCCCTGAGCCTTTCTGTCCTTGGCTCAGGGCACAGAGCCTAGCTCTCCTCGGTCAGGGACCAGGGGGTTGGCATTTCCAACACTATTTGAAAAGCAACTTCTTTTTGAACGATGTGATTAGGGTTTCTATCTTTCAGTGAAATATGGAACTAAGTTAGCTCTTCCCGTGTCCTTTACTTCGGAGGAGATGCAGGATACGTTCGTTTTTGGTTAGTTCTGCCGGAAGCTCATTGGCCTGAGAGAAGAAGATAAGATAGGTATTAGTGAATTCCTACAGATGGGATGGTTTTAGGGACTCCAAAGAGGGATCCCTGACCCAAACTTGCTCCTCTGCTGGTGAACAACTTCACTGGACTCACTCTTATTTTAAGGCATTAAAGGTCTCCTTTAAGTGTCTAAATATCACCTATTATTTTCTTATGTCATCATTAGAGTTCTTTCTCTCTCTAAGCCATATTCCTTAGGACACTGTAATCTGGCAGCCAGGGTTCATGTATTATTATTAATCACTGTATCCTCATTTCCAGCACAATGCCTGGTGCATCTAGTATGTGCTCAGTAAAACTGGTAATGTTAAATTTGATAATTTACATTTAATTCATTTATTATATGGGGCACCCTGTCCGCTATGTGCTGCTGAGACACATTCTCTAGGCATTTATTTCATGAGTGAGTCCTTACCACATACAGCCAACGAGGGGCAGCGGTTCTCGAACTTTTTGGTCTCAGGACCTTTTTATGCTCTTAAAAAGTATTGAGGGCCCCAATGAGCTTTTGTTTTTAACTTATTAGAAATGAAAATAAGAACGTTTAAAAATATATTAATTCATTAAAAATCATAAATCCACTACAGGTGAACATAAATCGCATTTATGAAAAACAATGAAATTTTCAAAAACAAAAAGGTTAGTGAGAGGAGTAGTATTATTTAACTAATTTGCATATTTCTTTAAAAAATTCTTTTAAATGTTTATTTATTTTAGAGAGAGAGAGAGTACAAGCAGGGAAGAGGCAGAAAGAAAGGGAGACACAGAATCTGAAGCAGCCTCCAGGCTCTGAGCGGTCAGCACACAGCCTGATATGGGGCTCGAACTCATGAGCTGTGAGATATGACCTGAGCTGAAGTCTGATGCTTAACTGACTGAGCCACCCAGGCATGCCTAGCTTTGCATATTTCTTGAATGTGTAGCTCAATCAAAGACATTTGGATTTTCATATCTGCCTCTGCATCTAACGTATTTTGGTACATTGTTTTGGTTAAAGCCCATATGAAGAAAATTCAGCTTCACACAGATAAGGTAGTTAGAAAAAGGAGAAACATTTTAAGAGTCTTTTCAGATCATTGTAGATATTCTTTGATGCCACACCAATACTAAACAGGTGGTAGTTTCTTAAAGGCAGTTTCAGTGTGGAATCTGAAACCATATCAATGAACTTTCTACATTAAAAATCCACAGGTCTATCTATCTATAGGTAGAATGTTTCCCCATGCATGATTTGTCACATCACACACTGGTTATTTGGAAAATGTTCGTTCAATGAGTTATGCCGTTTTTCCAGATGTTGACCCACTGCATCATACAATCTCAAAAGATCACGTTCATTAATATCAGCACCGATTCATCATGAGAGTCTCTAAGTGAACGGGGAAGCTGTCAGGCTCACCTGGTGGACACAAGTTGTTCTTTGAAATAAAAATGGTGTTCCAAGAAAGAGCAACTGGCGAGTTACCCACCTGGCAATTCAAACAACCACCTGCGTGCTTTTCCTAGAGACAACTGTTACACATCAGTATACAGCAGAAGTGCTGCATGCACGCTCCCATTTTGTCATGTACAATGTTAAGAAGATGTATAACGTGAGTCAAGATTTAATACAATTGAAATCGCTTACTGCTTCTTCAGAGATATTCTTAAGCAAAACTAGGATTTTTGTAAAATAATTTATAAAATCTGTAAAATCACTTACAAACTTTTGTTAACATCATTTGCCAATATAGTTTATACCCCTGCTTTGATGTGGAAGGTGCCAATTAATCGAATGCCAACATTACAGCAAATGTCAGCACAGTGGAAAAGGCAAATAACATCTTTGTATTATTAACAATATTGTTGGGGGCATCCGGGTGGCTCAGTCCGTTAGGTGTCCGACCTCAGCTCAGTTCATGATCTTGCGGTTCGTGAGTTCGAGCGGCCTCTGTGATGACAGCTCAAGAGCCTGGAGCCTGCCTCAGTCTCTCTTCTCTTCCCCTGCTCTCTGTCTCTCTCTCTCTCTCTCAAAAATAAACATCAAAAAAAGAATATTGCTTTGATTTCTTAGATCTCTTGAAAAAGTCTTGCATACCTCCAGGGTCCACGGAGCATACTCTGAGAACTATTGTTATACATGAATCACAGGATGTTCCTGGGATTTCAGGGGAGGTGGTTAAGGGATAGAAAAGCGCAGAGAATAGGGTAGAGGACTTGGATGTCCATGTGTCTGTCTCACACATTTTTTCCTCCCATGGCCACATCTGGAACCTCATCCACTTTATCTGGGGCCCTGATCCTTGGTGAAACTTCTGAAGTCCCTACCTTCTAGGTTGGGTCCTGCTCTTTGACCCCCACCTGCTAGCTGGGACCTCACTTGTCAGGAATTATGCATGGGGTTGCTGGGGGTTATGTTTCCCACAAATGGTCTGCTGAATAGTATGTGCTGTGGCCGCACCCCCAGCCCACCGCAAAGGACCCTGGATGCTGATGCTGGAATGAATTGGGCAGGAAATTACTATGCTATGTTACTGTAGACCAGAGGCCCCTCCAGAGGCTCAAATTCTATTGTCAGTTCCTGCAGAAACAGACATCGGACAGGCCTAACTGCTGGGCCTGCACAGAAATGCTCCTGGTAGACAGACATAAGCCCTATCCGGTCTCAGAGTATACTCAGGAGTAACTGAGCTGTGTTGCATGTGTTATTGGTCCTTGGTGAGCAGGTTGGCAGGTAGCCAGAGGATCCTCTCTGGTCAGGGAGAAGAGGAGATCTAAGAGGCCATACTTCTTACAAGCTTGCTGAGTGACAGCTCCTGTGTGTGACCGTCTCCATGAATGTCCATGACCTTTACTCTTAAAAAAGGCTCTATATCCTCAAACTGTGTTGTCAACTTCTGGTCAATCACATTGCTGTCTCATATGTCATCCATATAGTTCTAACAACCTGGTCTCATTCTCTCCAGGTTGGTCCCCACTGAATGCTCAGGTTTCTGAGATGTGTGGACCATTATGATGCCTAGTGCTGCAGGCTTGCCCCCAAAAGCCACCTTATTCATTATGGAGCAGGGCCGCCGGTCCATATTCATGATACCACAGCATTAAAACACTCTATTTCCCCACTGCTCCTGGAAGAAGGAGCCCTCAGTTGGGAGTATTGAGAACATGGGGCCCCTGTGCCCCTGGGGACAGCTACCATGTGGGGGGTGGCTATTGGGTCATTGGTTACCTCCTCCTGAGGCATCTGCTGTGCAGTCCCGGAGCAGAGGTCCTGGAGCCCCTGGAGCAGAAGACTGCTTCTGTATTCACTTAGAAGTCATTTCCTCCCGGAAGCCTTCAATAGCATTCATTACTCCCCTGCTGATAGCTCTCATTACTGCAGTGCAATTTCTTGTTTAATTGTCTTAGTTCTCCAGTAAACTCTGAGCTCTTTGAAGGCAGAGACTATGGGAATTTCATTCACCATTGTCTCCTAGTACACAGCACAGTGCATGGTATCTAGTAGGTACTCAGCGTTTGTTGAATGAATGAAGGCGAAGAATACCCCCTCGAAAGTCCTGGATGGCTGCCAGATTCCCATGACCCTTGCTTCTAGAGCTACCTTTAAGAGGCTGGCTTCTTTGGGGCAGCTGGTGGATGGGTGGGGTGGGGTGGGGTTCCCTGGTATCTACTCCCAGCTCTGTAAGAGCTTTCGTTATATGCAACTCCAACATGAACAGTCTGATTGCATTTTTCAGTTTCCATATCAAGGTACTAACATTTCCCCCTTGCCTTCAGTGCTGGAAGGCTTAGTAAGAAAGGTCAATCTCTTTACGAAGTCTATGTCCAGGGTCTAGAGATAAGAACGCAAGGATGATCTCAGCTAGCTTATCACACAGCCAGGCTAGCTAATGGAAAACAAATGTGCATCTCAGGAAGGAGATAAGCAGAAGTGTTGTCTTCAAGCATTCCGATGGTAAGAACAAGGAAAGAATAACTCCACATGGTAAGTAAAGTGGGAAAAAGAGAGAGAGAGAGAGAGAGACTCTTGGCATGTTTAATTACGCTTCTTAATGGTTTCTTTTCAAATGTCATGGAAAAGGTCCTATGCATTTGCTTTGATTGTTAAAGAAATTAACAGAGCAATCCATGCTTACAAAAACTCAAATAGTAGTTAAGTAGTATAAAGTGAAAATTGCTTTTCATACGTTCCTCCATCCATAAGCACCACACCCACTTCTACCTTGGAAAGTTTGTATTTAATTTTTTTAGGTTTCTTTATTTATTTTGAGAGAGAGTGAGTGTGTGCATGTTGGGGAGGAACAGAGAGAGAGGGAGAGAGAATCCCGAGTACGGGGTCTTCTTGCTGACATCAGTGCAGAGCCCCATTAGGGGCTTGATTTCATGAACCCTGAGATCACGACCTGAGCTGAAATCAACAGCTGGATGCTTAACCTGCTGGGCTCCTCAGGTGCCCCTAAAGGTTCGTAGGTTAGTGTGTTCTCAAAACTTTCCCCAGGCTGCTCTCCTCTCCCGGGCGCTACCTCTGACAACCAATACAGACGCGAGTGGGAAAAAATGCAATGATAATCATTTTCTCTATGGGTCTTGGGCATCTTCCCAGCTCCACATTTGATCTAATTGTAAACTAAGGATATTGGCCTATAAAAAATAAGGGCTGGTTTTGTAACAGCAGCGCAAAGTCCCGTTTACAGTGTAAGAGAGACTTTTTCCCCTTTCTCCTCTACTCTCCAAGTTAAGCACAACAATTCTTGAGATATAAACATCCAACTTATGCAGGATAGCAATAAACTCCCAGAACTTTGACGTGCTTAGGATACTTCTTTGATGATAGAACCCCATAACTCTACTCCCCACAGCTACTGCTCCCGCCCTGTCCTGGGAGGCTGCACCATTGTTAGCTCGTAACCATTGACAATACAGGGTTTTTAGCGTAATTCTCTGGGTCCAAATGTAACTGCTCATTCATACCTGCTGACGCCTTGCACACCCTTACTATGCCAAGGTATGACGAGAGGGACTGGGGCCAGCCTGAGTGAGGAGACTAGTGGTGGAGCCTTTCTCTTCCTTCCATTCCCTTCCAAAGGCACATCAGCACCTAATACAGTGTCCTCAGGTACACAGCAGATGGTCAGTACAGATATTGCCAACGTTTTTTTCTCAAGTGAAATAAGAATCTGGCCCAGGGTGCACATGACTAATTATCTTGGCTTAGGTAGAAACTGCCTTATCTCTTTGCAGAGGCGCCCAAAGAAGTTACAACATAGGTAAGATAAGGTGGGTACCTTGTTTCTCAGGGCTGGGTCTGCCCCGGCTTCCAGAAGCAGTGCGACTGTTTTAATATTCCCACTGAGCACCGCCGCGTGGAGGGCCGACGTCCCATTCTAAGAGAGAATGACAGTGTGTGTCAGGGGTGAGCTCACAGCCATCAGCACTGAGCTTGGATGTCATCGTAAACCCGCCTGAATGAAGAGACTAGTGTCAGGGCTTCGCTCTTCCTTATGTTCCCTTTCAAAGGTGCATCAGCACCTAATACAGTGTCCTCAGGTCCACAGCAGACGGTCACTATGAATACTGCCAATGTTTTTTTCTGAGTGAAACAAGAATGTGGTCCAGGGTGCACATGACTTCATGATCAGCCTGTCAGTTTTATTTTTTTTTAAACTTTTTAAATGTTTTTATTTATTTCTGAGAGAGAGTGTGTGAGCAGGGGAGGGTCAGAGAGAGAGGGAGACACAGGATCCGAAGCAGGCTCCAGGCTCTGAGCTGGCTGTCAGCACAGAGCCCGACGCGGGGCTTGAACCCATGAACCATGAGATCATGACCTGAGCTGAAGTTGGATGCTCAACCAACTGAGCTGCCCAGGCACCGCAGCCTGTCAGTTTTAAATGCATTAGGATTTGCTGCAGGAAAAACAATAATGCTACGTCAGACCTTTTTTTTTTTTTTTCTTCTTCAAGGACAAATGTATACAGTTTCCATGTATGTTCCAGCCAAGCTGGAAAGATGGCCAGTAAGCCAACAGCCAACTTGTCAGCGCAGCTACCAGTACCCTGCATGCTCCCGTGGGTAGGAGACCACGGTGGAGTTACAGGGCATGAGTGTGTGGGGCGATGAAACCCCTAAGCCCTGATTTGGAGCGTTTTTGAGCACAGAAGGGCCTACTGGATAGGTGGCTGACATTTATCAAAATTTACTGCAAATATCAGAAAGCATCTATGTGCAGTATGGAGCCAGATTCTGGGAGGAGAGAGCAAGAGAATATAACAAATCTAATCTAGGAATGATGGGCAGTCATATGACATCTGTTCCAAAAGGTGCATATGTCTACAAATAGCATCTAAATGCAACTCTAGTTTCCACATTAGCTACTTCCTATAATAATAAAAAAAATATTCATATTTCATGAAAGAGTAAAATATCATACCCCTAGGAAAATTCCAGCAAAGTAGCATTTTCCTTTCCAAAGTGGCATGTCTGCTTTTATAACATGCCAGACAACTCACTTGTCTGGTAACATTCAACCCATCCGAATGTTAACCAACCTGTCAACCTCATCTATTTGCAACATGGTTAGGAATACAATACCAAGGCAAAAAAGAGCTCTTTGAAATGAGACCAGTTATTGCAAAGTCTATTTCTGAAGCTCATTTCTTTTATCCACAGAGAGTTCACTTTCATAGACTATTTATTCTTTATAAACAATTTTAATGAGTGTAGCTTTCTGGCTTCCAAGTTCATGAAAGATCAGAAGTTGCTCTTTGGGATGGAGGCGGGGGTGGGGGGGGAGGGGGTAGACTTTTACACACGCTAAAGGCACATTCCCCTAAAGTGCTAAGCCACTGTCCCAAGTTTAGAATGGATTTCCTGCCCTCCATTTAAGAGAACAGAAGTGTATACTGGGGGTCTGCAAACGACAGTCCGCGGGTCAAATCTAGCCTGCTGCTTGTTTTTCTATGTTCTGGCAAGCTGAAATTGAAAAGATTTAAAAGAATACTACATGACAACATGAAATTCCAGAAATACAATGTTCACAAACAGTGGGAGGCAGCCACTTTTGCCCCCATGACTTTCATGTTACAATAATAGACCTGCTCAGTTCCAAGGGACTCTGTGGTCCATGAAGCCTAAAATATTTTACTACATGGCCCTTTATTGAAAAAGATTTCCAACTCCTAGTATATACTCTAATTTAGAAATATCTTAGTCTCAAATGTTTAAAATTTAAAAAAAGAGTTTTAGGGCTTTACTTCCTGGCAGACCCAGGTCTCCACAATGGCACATTCTTTGAGGTGTCCAGATATTGGAGGCTTATTTTATTTCATCCAAAGTAACAATGTGGTTCTTTGCTCCAGATAATGAAGGGAAGAAACAGGAGCACCCGTCCCCCATGTTTTGTGGGACACAAATCCTGTGTTTCATGATGTGTGGAAGACTTTAGTCCAATGATAGATATATACCAATATAGTTTACTTTCCAAGTTAGTGATTTCATTACTACTATATTTTTTTCCCATAAAACTAAGTACTAACAGACTGTGGTTCACTCGTCTTACCACCTTTTCATTTCAACCTGTGCCCATGAATCTCCAAAGATTCAAGAAGTTGCCAGAAAGTTCTTTCAAGGCTGCAACTACCCATGTGATTATATCTTATACCCAGATTCTGCTGAAGTCCGCTGCTATGGGCTTCTTAATTTCTAGCCTCTCTTTTACAGATTGGTAAAATTTCTCTTTAAGTCTTACCTTCAGAATGCCAAGGGTGGGTGAGAATTTTAGCAACTCCTTTATAACATCGTTATACCCTTTGTTGGCTGCTTTTAGCAATGCTGTCGTACCATCCTTAACAGAGCAGGAAAGAAAAATTGATTATTAAGATATTCGTGTGTTGACTAGGAACTAAATGTTAGTCGAGAATTGGGAATATGCTTCTCAGAACAGGCAAAACGTGTAAACTAAAGTATGAGCAGGCCATGTCTCAATCTAGGAGCGTTTTAGAGCATATTAAGCAGTTAGTTCTGCATGAAAGAATGTTAAACAGAATATGTGGCTTATTATCTTAGAATCCTGCCATTTGGGAATTCATACCCTTCCAGTCCCTTAGAACACCAGGTAAAGGGCAAGGGAACATCAAGAATATATTTTAGGAGGCAGATGGATCAAAGATGCATTGACTGCAGTTCATGACTTAGCAGAAATTAGTGTTAAACCACTTTTAATGATTTAAATAACTATTGAACTATATTTACTGCTTAAAGTTTTAAATGTGCTTTTCTGTTTGCCTTCTTTGATGTACAACTTTGCTCTAGTGTGCTCTAGGAGTCTGTGGGGGTTGGGAGTGGGTGGGTGTGGAGTAGGAAAGGGATAGATTGAAATCTGTTAAAAAGAAATGCAAAGGCAAGTTCAAAACTTTATGTACAGCTTCTGTCATCACTTTTTGGCCTGGAAAGAGATTTTCCAAATTCCCTTTTCTCCTGCTTTTACATATCAATAGCTGTATTCGGAGGATTCAGCTCCCAGAATTCTCCTGTAGTAAAGGAACTATCCCAGCCTGCTCTAAAGGTTTAGCTGGAACCAGGAAAAAAGAAAATGAGATTAGAAGATTTTTCTTTTCTGGCTTCAGAGATATGGGATGAAGAGAAAGAGAGGAAGAGAAAGAGTGGTCAGGAATGTGTCTTCCCTTTTCTGGACTCACACTTGGAGAGCGGAGTGGGTCACATAAGCAAGGGTAATGCTAAGGGGAAAAAGGCCAGACACTGAAAAACCAAGCCAAATGCAACCCAACCCAACCCAACCCAACCCAACCAAACCCAAAAAGTGAATAGCATAGTGTGGTCTGGTAGCAGGGTCTCCCCAAGGGGTGCTTAGTTCCTATGGGCAATGGGGCCTGCTGTGAGGCCCATCTAGGCAGACTTACGTTACTTCAGCATTGGCTAGGTGGCTAGAGGGATGTGGTTCAGGGGTCCGCGGCTGGAGAAGCCAGGTGAGGTGGAGACCCAGGAGCACTGCCGACCCCAAACTACTGAGCCTGTGCCCCCCGCTGCACTGTGGTCCATGGCCGGCAGGGGGCGCAGCGCCAGGCGCACGCGCAGCCACTAGGGACACACTCCAAGGACAGCCCGAGACCCTGGCTCCAGCCTCCCGCATCCTCCTGGGACTCTGCTTAGGTGGAGGAGTATCTCCGAAGATTAAACAGTTTTCCTTTAGAGGGACTGGGCACCACTTGCTAAGTTCCAGCTGATTCAGACATTTACTTTGTTTTCTTGCTCAAGAGCCGGTGGAGGTTGGGAGAAAACCCAGCTGAGTTACAGACAAAATGAAGGCGCGTTTTCTTCTCCGCACTGAAATCTGGAGTGGTGCATGCACTCCCTCCCCCCCGCGTGCCGCAGCTGTGACTCTGACTCACGTTGCGGGCGGCGTCCCGGTCAGCTCCGCGCAGCAGCATCACCCTCACCACCTCGCTGTGGCCCATCTGCGATGCGATCCACAGTGGCGCCGTCCCGTCCTGCCGGCGAGGGGACACGATTGCTCCTATGGCCGCACCGCAGCCACAGAACATCAAGGCAGCACCTGCAGACGCAACCCCTCCCACTCCCGCCGCCCTGACAAAGGTGGAGGGAAATTTTAACCCTTTTACGCAGACGGGCATTTGGCGGTGCCTGGACTACTCGCGCGATTGCCAATATTCCAGTTTTGGCTTATAACCCAGCCATTTAATGGCAGGGTCTCTTAGCACATGGCGTGATGCACGGAACACGGGGTGGGAAGCGGTGGGGTGGCTCAGCAAGGCAGAACCAAATTTGACAAGCCCAGGGAGAAGTCTTTATTTCCTCCCAGGCTTCACATGACACCCCCTGCCTAGTGGGGGCCCTCGTTCCCACAGAAGAGAGGGCAGTTTTCTTTGAGGTGATGCATGAGGATCAGAGAACTAAAGACAGTTCTATTCTTCTGGTGTCTGGAATCCCACCCACCCACTCACCGTCGGCCACGACATTTTTAGGGACTTTAGTTTTATGCAGGATGTGATAGTTTCTTCTGGGAAGGCATGTACACTAGCGAGGTATAGCAGGACATTTGTGATAATATTTCCTGGGTATTGTTCCCCCAAAGACCCTGTTTATGTGAGCACTAGGCTATAAATGCTCCACGCTTATGGGCGGAGCTCCACAGCATGATGGAGGCGGGTTGCCCCACAGAAGAAAAGGTGACATATCCAAGGGACAGAGAAGGATTTGAAAGGAGGGTGGCTCCTGCCAGACGGAAAGGAAAACGGAAAATGCTCCCAAGTGCTGGAAGGAAGCTCTAGACAAGGAGTAGGGGAGGTGGAGTTCAGGCAGGAGCGGCCATGTTTTTCTCCTGGGTTGAATCTAGGGGTGGGTAGAAACACCCAGATACATTATGGTGAATTCCAGATGGGAAAGGATTTTCTCCCGTTCTTGGGATGAAACCCAGAAGAACTGAAGGTCTCTTAGAGAAGCTCTGCTCTTGGCTGGTGCTTGAGAGATAGGAGTGGGTGAGGGAATCTGTACCAATGGACCTGAGACAGGCCCCCGGTGCCCCTGGTTCACAGCCACCAGGAGCCCCTGCCTGCCTGTGGGAAATCAGAAGTGCTGGGTAAACAGTGGCCTGGAGTCCGCCTGGGGTTGGAAAGAGAAGGCCGCAGAAAGCCATGATTTCACAAGGACAAGCCAACAAGGTACCTGTGTAGGATACTCACAGACAGGAGAGGCTGGACAAACCAGGGCAAGGACCAGACGCGAGTGTCCCCACCTCACCCCAATGCCAGGGCGATAGTCTGACCTTTGAGGACTTGGGCCACTTTGGAGGGCAGGAAGAGTGGGGAGGAGCCAGGGCTGACTCAACTTAGGCTCTGAGGTAATTAAGGTAATATGGCCCCAGGGGACTGTTTTGGTCACGTAAGACTGAAGTACTCATCAGTGGGAATGAGGGCTGCAGAGCAAGATGATTCAGTCACAGACGCAGAGTTTCATTTTCTGCTGCGGTACATAATTTCAACTCCAGTCTAATAGCCACAGCAGGCTCGGGACGATTGCCCACTGCTGTCCCAGCAAAGAGACGGAGGACAAGGACAAGTGAGCGGCTGGTGGGTGGCGGCAAACCGGGAGCCTAGAAGGATTGGGGGGCTGCTGAGGGGTAGCAGGATGACAGAGGCACCCTCTGTGCTGAAGCAAAGCGTGGAAGAAGGATGAACACTGAGAGCGGCTTCATACTTTTGCAAGGGCCTCCTAGAAATATTCTTGAATCCGAATATTATTTATTATCAGCAACAGAAATAATACTTTAATTTGTACTTCTGTTTACAAAGCATGTCTACATTCATTATTTAACTCGATTCTCCCAATTCAGGATCGTTCATTCATTCAGTCCACCAACCAACCATTAGTAAGTATCTCTGGCAGAAGGCTCAATAGGATATGACCTCTGTTCTCAAAGGAACTCAGTCTAGTGGAGAAGAGACATGGAAATTTCAGGATGATTACGGTGCTATAATAAATATGGGCAAAAGTGCCCAAGATGAACCAGGCTTGCTGCTTACTGTGTGGGGGTTACGGGGGTCAGCTTCACGGTTGGGGTGATATCTGAGCTGGGCCTTAAAGGAGGACTAGGATTTTGCCAACTGGGGCTTGGGAGGAGGGCATTCCATGTAGGAGGAGAAGCCTTTACAGGTGCGGTGGCTTGGACAGGTGTGGCTGGTTCAGGCAGGGTGGCAACTCCAGCTGACTGTGGCAACTCCAGCTGACTGGTTAGGGGGTGGGGTTGAGGGTGGGCAGGAGAGGGAGGCTGGGTGCTGGAAGCTCTTGTCCCTCCTTGCCTGCTCTGGGCTCACTTGTTCTTTCTCACTATGTCCACCAGAGGGCAGGCGAGGAAAGGCAGCCAGCAGCAAAGAGGTCAGCAGGCGGCCTGTTCAATGTGCTTTCCAAGGGCTTGGCTGTCAGTAAAAGGATCTTAATACTAGCATGTGGGAAAGTGCTGAGAGGTGATGTATTGGGAACAACTATTAATATCATCAATTCATCACAGTGATGCTAACACTTAACCTCTATCTCTTTAATTTGCAATGATCGCAGTAGGTGGAAAAAGAAGTCACTACTTCATGGTTAGGAAACCTTGGGCAAATTACCCGGAGCCTTGGTTCTCTCCTGTAAAAACGTTGGCTTCCCAGAGACAGTCGTGTACAGGAAAACACGTAGAAAGGTGCTGAGCACAGGACTGGCTAATGCCTGCTTAGAACGTGGTCGCTGAATCTGCACATTTATCATGAAAAACAATGAGCACCTTAATTTGTGCCTTGGTTTACAAAACACTGCACATGGTTGATTTGACTCTCCCCATTTTCCTGTGAGATAACACCTGAACTGGTAGGAATGATTGGTCAAATGAGATTTGGGGTTAAACCCAGGAAGGTGAATATGCTCTAATTTGAGCATGATTGTCAAATCAAAGTATTTATCAGTTGATTATCTGGTTGGCGGAGAGGAGAAGTTTTCCCCTCCAGGACACCTCAATTCTTATTTTCTCTTCTATTATAATGGTCGGCATCTTCATTATAAAGATGGATTCACAATGACAATTATAAACAGTAAGTCTGCTTAGCTCCTTTTTGTTGAGTTTTGAGAGAATGGAGTAATAGAAAACATGAAAAAATTTATGTTTGTGAATACTTCCTGACAAAAATATATAGTTTTAAAATATATTCAAACAAATCACAGTGAAAGAAATCACAGGAAGTGAGGACCTCTATGGGACCTTTTTAAGAAAAGGAAATAGGACACCTAGCTTGAAGAAGATGAGATTCTTGGGGTTGACAGTTTCATTTACTATCTGTGTGCAAACTGAGCAGAAAAGGATTTCTTACTCCTTATACTTCTTATAAAATATATTTATTAATTTTTATTTACCTACTTTGCATATCAGGTGGCACAAAGAGGGCTGATGGGTAAAGGCTATTCAAGACTTTGGCCCAGTGTAGACAGAGGTGGTAGTGAGGGCTGGTCAAAGACTAACTAAGCTGGTGAGTTAGTAATGAGTCCCCCACACTTGAGGGGTTCACCGGTGGCTGACTGCCACTCAGCAGGATTGCTGGAGAAAGGATTCATGTGCTGGACAGATGATTACACAGGTGACTTGCGCAGTTCCTTCTGACTTGGTTATCCCCTTGTTCCATCTGAGATAATATTTTCAAGTATCATCTAATACATTTTGATAGATCCCAGTATGAGATGGGACATATGCCAGGATTTGTTTTGGAAACTAAATGTTACATCATTTTAGTTAGACTCCAAGAGATTACTTAAAAAAAGAATTAAAAGCACTGAGTGTTATGTAGAAACTAATTTGACAATAAACTATTTGTAAAAAAATAAAAAAAATAAAAAAAAGAATTAAAACCTTCCATAGGAATGAGTATATTTAGTGGCACTAGCTCTTTGCTTTTGCTGCTTCTAGTCCTCACACTTAGGCTTTTTCCATCTCCAGGTTCAAGCCAGACAGCCTTAGGGACCAATTCTATTCTAAGTTGGAGGCCCAGGTAAGGAATCTGGTTAGTAGCAGAGGGGGTTCAATATCAAGACAACTTTGCTACCACGCCTACCCTGACCCAGAGCCTATTTCTCATGGGGTGTCCCCAGTCCAGCAAAGAGGTCTGTAAAAGATGTTACCAGATGCTTCCATTCCTCAGCCTGACCCCATTCTCCCTTCCCACAGGTGATCAGACCAAGGATGGGCAGGCCAGCCAGTCCACTGTGGCCTGGTGTGCAGAGCCTAGTGGCAACAATGACACGGCTATCCCAAGAGTTTGGTAGTCTGACCTACAAACTTAGGGACTATATACAAGATGAGTAAGCAGAGGATGCTAGAAAAAAAGGAGTAGGGAGAGGAAAAGAGGCAAGAGGGGACTTTGAGATGACAGAGACTACATGGCTTATGAGAGAAAGAATGCAACCATGACTCCTGATGGGTTTTCTCTTCCAGTGAGGCCTGGACGAAATAGAAATGATAATGGCAAAGGTACCATAATTATCCTGGTTTTACAAATAAAAAACACAACAACAACCCAGGACTACATCAAAATAAAAAGCTTTGTAGCAAAGGAAATAATTAACAAAACTAAAAGACATCCTACAGAATGGGAGAAGATATTTACAAGTGAGATATCTGATAAAGGGTTAGTATCTAAAATATATAAAGAATTTATACAGCTCAACACCAAAAACCAAATAATCCAATTAAAAATTGGGTAGAAGATATGAACAGATATTTCTCCAAAGAAGATTTAAAGATGGTCAACAGACACACGAAAAGATGCTCAACATCATTTACTCTCAGGCAAATGCAAATCAAAACCACAATGAGATACCACCTCACACCTGTCAAAATGGTTAAAATCAACAACACATGAAACAACAGGTGTTGGTGAGGCTGTGAAGAAAAAGGAATCCTCGTGCATGGCCAGTGGGACTGCAAACTGGTGCAACCAATGTGGAA